ATGGGAATTTGCGCGCCTACTGCTCACTTGGTAAATCTTTCTTTCTTTCTTTCTTTTCACTTTCACTCGGTGTGTGTATTCCAGGCACCGTAAATGCGTGCGTGACGGCGTGACACGAGCGACAATGAATAAGGAGAAGAAGAAGAAGAAGAAGTCAAACGTCTACACCCTGAGGCTTATACTTGACGGCTGTATAGGGTACATCACGCGCTTGCTCCGACTTTGACTTTGTGTTCCTTACCCGTGTAGGTACTTTTTTTTAAAAGTTTTTTCTCTGTATAGGCATAATTATATAACGAGCAATGCTTGTACACTGTGTTAGATATTCGAGATGAACATATGTGTATGCAAATCGAGGAAAACGGTTTAAATGTTGCGATAAACCATTAGAGGTTGTTATTTATACGAAAGGTGTTTGACATTTAGATTAAACGTATTAATTTACCAAGTTATAGTGAAGCGTCGAGTTTCGCAATTAAAGTTTATATGTGTAGGTATGTGTGCACATTTTTTGGCCGTGATGTGATTTTCAGAGCTAACTGTACAACCATAGGGGTACATCATATGTATATCATGCAAGCGGCAACGTGTTTCTCGAATCCGAACAATTTCCTCTGGTCGGAGCCGTTCCATTGTCCCCGGTGTAAAAGTTCCGAGGGCTCGACGACACCTCGTTGACGTGAAAAAGTGGCTCGCAACAACGGCGACGCGTACAACAGGAACCCACCCCGTGACAAAGGCCTCTCGAGCGCGTCACATTATGGTTTTTCGGGGATCACATTGGGATGTAACACTTACTCGTATATACTTTGCACCTCTCACGTCCGATTTGTAATGAACCACGGGGGGGGGGGGGGTTGCTTCGCCGTTGCAACTCGTGTGGATACATGGCTTTATTAGGCGCGTTACGAGGGTTCCCGCCCCGTAACCCAACGTGCGCACAAAAGTACCTATATAACGGGAAACGTAATAACAATGATGATCCTCTTGACGCAGTCGTTTGTCGAGTGAATGAAGCATATAACACGCCACTCTCTGTATGTACAACGTGCGGTTGTTGTGCCATTTCTGGCTACTGGTTTTCATCTGGGGTTTTCCTTGCCCCTTTCTATATCCCTCTTGGATGATTATTCCGTGAAATTGTCTTTTCAGATTTTTTTATGGACAAAGGGAGGAGCTCAACGATTGCTCGTTGCAAAACAACTTGCTGTATACTGCGGTACACGGCGTTTAATTAGAAACGGGAAGCCGTACAAAGGCACGTATATACACCGGCACCTATTTTAATTTTGCGTCTGTACGTAATTCAACGCTCTTGCATTATTAATTTCTCCGGTTGATTTGATATTTGTTAGCAGAAGCAATTATTGGCTTCTACGATATTTGCCGATCGAAAAATCGGTCAATTGCAAAACGCATCGCGTATTATATACACGTGCTACCCGATGCCCCGAATAATATTCCCGACACTTTATGAATATTTGTAACGTTAAACAAATAACGTATAATAAATCAATTGGAAATATCTTGTTACGATGTTTTTCTACAATATTTATGCGCTACTCGTGTTGATTATCATCGCCATAATGTAATAATATATATTGGTACCCCTTTACTATGCATAATACAATCCATTGCAATTAGCTCTCCTTACTTCCCGATGATTGAACAGTCAAGTTGGAAAGCCACACAGGCGCGCATCATCGTAAAACACGCCACTCAAAAACGAGAGGGAAAAAAAAAAAGGAAAAATCTCCGACAAATAATAGAATACGAAAACCACGATGACTCCGGGCCGACGCGTGTTTGTTCTGAAAACACACTCGTAGTTTCCCCGTATTGCGGCGGAAAAACGTGTGCCCGATGTTTTTTCACGTTTTTCCGCTTCTCTCTACATATACTCACGTCCAAGTTTAGCCAAAAAGTCGTGCGGGCCATTTTTCCTCCAATACTTACGTGGGCCTAAAATAATGGAGAGAGAAAGAGCTGGGCACCGGCATCGTGTACAACATATAGCTGTATATCCTCCCCGAAACGAAGGGAATGGGACGAGAGAGAGAGAGAGATGTTCCTCTTGACGACGATGACAACAAGGGTGCCGTTTGTTTGGCGTGCATGTGTGTATATGTATATATGTATTATATACAAGCCGAAAAAGCGCAGCAGCGGCGCGCTTTCTTTTTTCCTCTCCTTCTCTCCCTGTGTGTACACATTGATTGACGTGGGACGAAGGCCTGTCAGTTTTGCGAGCCCGCACATACAACTATATTATATATGGTCTCTTCTTTTTTGACGGAAAGAAGAGTTGTTGCTATGTATGTATATATATATACACACATGTGTGTACGGGGGACCATATACGCAGCTGCGTCATACATGGCGAAAGAGGTTTCGGGAGGAAAAGCGGTTCTGGACGCAATATGCGAGCTTTACGTACTTACATTACGGTCCGTCGGAGCACGTGTGCTGATGAACTCTCCCCGCGTGTTTTTTTTTTTTTTTTTTTGTTTACCTTGTAATTCTGGAGCTGATACATATACATGTATTTTTTTTACTTTGGTTTCCGTACATTGTTGCGGGGAAACGACATCCTGCAATTTAAAATGGGCAAATCGAGCTTCCAGTGGAGGCAAAATCAAAGGTTCGATCGGAGACGGTATAAGTTACAGAGTTTTCCGTTCTCGTGAAATTCGAAATTCCTTGTCAGCGCGCACAGCATAAACGTAATCTCGCGTAATGGTGAAAAAAAAAAGCCGGACAATGAAATCCACTTGCAACCTGTGTATTATACGGAGGACGACGGGAAATTGGCGTGAAAGCCCGTCCACCCGGCATCTTCGACCGGGGAAAAAAAAAAAAAAAAAAACGGCATAAAAAGGCCCCCTCCGTGCGGAGGGACACAGGGAAAAATCCAACAGAGCCCAAGAGAGAGATGACGAGTGAGCATCATCGCAAGTAATGCCCAACACTGCAGAGAGGGGGCGTGGCTACCGGGGAGCGCGCCGATCCGCAGACATGGCGATCTACCGGCCAATCGGCCCCCAGCCAGCCGAGCCATCACCCGCGGCCCCGCCCACGACCAATCGCGACGCGAGGCTCTCTTGCGATCCATACGCGACTGTCTTGTTTTCTCTCTCTCTCTCTCTCTTTGGGTACTGCTTGCACATGCCCCGCTCTCCGGGGCAGCTCAAACCGGGCTCGGTGGCTGGCTGGCCGGTCTGGCTGGCCTGTCTCTGGTTGCCCACTTTTCAGTCGGCTCGGTAGCGCGCGTCCGAGTGGATGCGCATACAAATCCATACGCGCTCGTGTTACCGCACATCACCTCCGATCGTTCGACGTCGATGCATCATAACGTGCGCGTGTACTTGCACGATTTTTCAAAGCACTCGTGATCATCGTCGAGTGAGTGCCGGCTGCGAGTGATCGGTACGAAAAAAACGGAGGAGGGAGAGAAAAAAAAAAAAAAAGAGAAGAATTTCGCGAATCGAGTCGCGACGTCCATCTTGACGTAGCCAAGGTGCAACCCACGCGCGTATAGCACCCGATGATCTCAACCAGAGGACAATAACACACCCGCGCGGTCGGAGGGATTTTTATTGGTTTAACGTATATACCTTGTTGAATATAGGTAATGAGTACTGTACGCTGTGACGAGTGTCGTGTTGTGCTGTGCCGATCAAGAGCGAGAAACAAAAAGTAAAAAATCTCTTACCTATATATAACGTACAGTGCGCGCAATGCGGAATAATAATATTATATGCTCGAGGAGGAAGCGTAACTCAAGTGCGGAGCGGCATCCACCAGCGGTACTGCCGTAGTGTGTATATATATATACATACCGATCCGAGGGATCTAAAATTAGTCGCGCGCTGCTCTATTAATACAAGGTGGCCGAACCTAACAGCACCACCACCGACTCTCTCGCTCTCTTGTTCTCCCCCCCATAAGCATATAAACGCACAGGAGCAAAAAAAAAAAAAAAAAAAAAACACCCGTGCCGATTTTTCTATTTNGTATGTCCAACTCGTGCGTTTTTTCTCTCCGACTGCAGATGATACTAGACCAATATATATATTGGACAAAAATAAACTCGTCTTACCATTCGATCTTTGAAGCATCATCCGATCGCGACTTTTCTTCATTGGTTGAAAAAAAAAAAAAAAAAAACACCCGTGCCGATTTTTCTATTTTGCAATCGTTGCGTTGTTTACGTATACCGTGATGGCCCAACAACAGCCGGTTAAAGAAGAGGAGGAGGACGAGCATCAGAGGAAAGACGCGCGTCAGGCGAGGGACGGCAGGGGCCGAGTGTAAACCTCTGCCCCGCTACATAAATATATACACTTGCCGATCTCCGGATAATATTGTGTGTCGTGCAGTGCGGGAAACCTAAGCACACGGAGATTCGAGGACTCTTTGCTCGCGAGACCGACCACGCCAAGTGGAAGAGAGAAAGAGAAAGGATAATCGGATCACACGTGTGTGTATATATATATGCACACAACGACAATAATCGGCCGGCCACTCGTTAAAGGCGATTATAAATATACACGCGTATAGAGGCGAAAAAGTGTGTCCGCCGCGGCGAGTAACCGGACCTGTAATCCCTGTAGCCTTCCGGCGCTCCGTTTTTTTTTTTTTTTTTTTTTTTTTTTTCTTTTGCAACTTATCCCTACACATATGCACGAGAGCGTACATTGTAGCGTGTGCAGCGGCGTTTGGCAGCCACCGACGAGTCAAAGTCCACAGGGTCCGCCGGTGTAGCGGCGTTCATCTAAAAATACAGCCGCCGTCGCAGACAGTGCCTCCGCGTCCTCCCACGTTGTTGGTGGTCGACACGCCGATTTCCTTCGGGGGGGGTGGGGGCCGGGCGGGAAAAAGCCGGCACGCCGCGACGGAGCCAAACGCCCCGGAACGAGGCGAGAGGACACAGTCCCGGGGCGGAGGACAAACGCCGCGAGGGCCAAAGAAACAACAACAACAAGGGGAGATAGAGGATACGAGTGTTTGTCGGGTTGGGCAATGAGGTGATGATGGCCTACGGGGGAGCAGCCGCAGCGGCCGGCCGATCAGGTAGCGGCATGGCAGGGAGCCGGGCCGTGCAGTGCGTCAGCCGGGCGGGGAGTACGGCAGCCCTCGAGCAGCCCTCCCAGCACCACCACCAGCAGCAGATGCAGCCGACGGAGTACAGTCCCCGGGGGACCCCGACATTGGCAGCCGCGGCGGCCGCTGCGGCCATCGAGGGACCCGTGCCCTACGCCACCACGGGGGTACAGCAGCCCGGTTACAGTCCCCAAAACAGCCCCATCAACACGGCGGTGCAGGCAAACACCGGTGCCGGTAACAACGCCGGGGCCAACGGACAAGTGCCGGCTTTTGGATTCACCCAGGAACAGGTCGCCTGCGTCTGCGAGGTACGGCTGCATATAATATAATATAACACACATGCATACGTAGAGCCTCAGTGTGGCTCGTCTTCATCACGTCATGACTCTCGTTCAGACTTTTTCTTTTACTCTCCCTCTCTCTCTCTCTCTCTTTTTTTCGTACATATTACAGAGCTCCTTCTTCCTATATACGGAAGAATATACCTATACGTCTATACTGATAAACTTGCATCGAGTTGATTTCTCGCTCGTGACAAGCTCTGTTGTCGGGAGCTGCGTGTATGTACCATAGGCGAGTCGTGAAAGAAACATTACACCAGTACGTGTCGCGAGATATTTGTAACGTTAGACGTGTGTGCACAGGCGAAATTGCAAATCTTGTCATATACAGTCTATCCGCGGATGAGTGACAATGATCATCTTTTCGATCGATGTGTGATTTACACCGGATGTACCACAAGTACTTCAAGTTAATTGTATAAACTTTGGTATACGACAATCGATCTCCCTATTACCTATAATATCGCGTGTTTTCTTTCATGCTCGCGATTAAACTTCGTGTTACCTGTACACGCAGTGCGTTCATTTAGTATCAAGGAAATTTTAAGCTCTCCTTTTGCACGTGTTAATCATTTTTCTCATCTCGCGCATTTATCTTTTCACGCGAGTATCTATTTGGTTTTTAATTTTAGGTGTAGGAAATCAAAGTGTGTTAAAATAACGTGTTCAAACCAATTAGAAAAAAATAATTTTTATCTGTTTCGAAGAATTATAGTATATATAGTCGCACTTGAATTTTTCCGTATAAACACGTTCGTCGGATCACTTGATTTTCCTCTAGTGAAGCATTTGGTCCTTAGGTACACTCGTCATTAATTTACAATTTTTCGTGGTACATACAATACTAAACACTACATAATGCAAAAATATTAGATGATGCGTTAAACGAGCCATTGTCAACGCGTGCAAAGTTTGACACAAGCAAAAGGAAGTTCTTTAAACGGCATCGAGTTGTCCCAATTTTTTTTTTTTTTTTTCTCCGAGTGCACGCAGTTTATTCATAGCACAACGCCACCGCCTGCATCACCACAGAGTAGTCAAAATGTACGTATAAATATGTATACGTGTGTATATACATGACGCGTGTATGCATACACGCGCTCCCACAGTCAAACAAACGTCACAACGCGTTTATGTAATACCTTGTTACAACATTTTTGCCGTGCCAAACGTGCGCATCGTGTGTCTTACCTCGTGTCATTGTTGTTATCATTATTTTTTGATTGTATGATCAATTTTTACCGTCAAAATGAAAATTCATTTGACAATTTTACCTTGTCCGTCGTATCCCAAACAGACGGAATTTCTCAAAACTCAAAACTCAAAACAAAAAAAGTGTTAACAAATGTTTCAAATTGATTTTTTAGCCGCAAAAAAAATTGTAATTTTGCCAACATCGAGTTATTTGTTGTTTTTGATTAAAAAAAAAAAATGTTTCAAAGCGGGATGAAAACTTTTTATTGATGTAAATTACTGAAAAATTCAGCTTTTTTGTAAAAGATTTGCGTCAGAGGCAAAAATTTATTTCCTAATGGAAAAAAAAAAAAAAATCTTATCAAACAATTGCAAAAAAACGTGAAACAAGCACATTTTGCTGAATCGTGTCTGGAAAATCGAGCAACTTTGAAGCAAGCGCGTAATATACACATACCCAACGAGTTTGAGAGAGTAATGAATTTACAGGGTCTAGTGTTTCCAAATATTGACATAGAGTGCAAGCTCGCGAAGGCGACCGAGGCACTGGAGGCACGAAATTAGCTTCGATGTCGTCGATTTTTGCACGCGCGTGAAAAAAAAAAATATATATATATATAAACTAAAAAGCGAGAAATATTTCGGGAGGGAGGAAGAAAAAGCTTAAAATACAGTATAAAACGAAGGAAGGGGGGGGGAAAGACAGAAAACGGAAGGGGTAAAAGCGTCACCCCGGCTTTTTTATGTGCACGTGTATTTATATATACCCATACACACGCGTATATGTGTACATATATATGTGTTGTTCTTAAATAATTGCTGGCTCGCGCGACCGAGAGCCTTTACGAGCGGTATAAATCCATCGTCGCGCGCCTGGCGTTTAATGCAAGAAAAAAAAAAAAAAAAAAAAGAGAGAGAGAGAAAAGGTGAGCGTAGTATAGTTTTCCTTTGGTATAACGAGCCACGTGTTATATGTTTATTATCAACTAGTTAGGCTAATTGATTAATTTTTTTCCATTTTTTTCTCATTTTACTTCTTAAATCACTTAATTGATTGAACGACTATTTTTGAGGCTACGCGCTAAAAAGACCAAATCTTGTACGATAAACTTTGCACGTATAAATTTTATTTATTTTTTTTTTTTTTTTTCGTAAAAATGATCCAAGATCCTATAAGGTACATTTACAGAGTTGTCTCGTATCTCTCCGGGTCACACGTATCTAAATTCATCTGTAAAATTCTGCGAGTCGCGAATCATTGAATCTTGACGGGCACTTGAAACGTTTCTATCTTTTCAAAATTTCCATCCATCGGGGTATCAATCTCTCATATCTCATATTACAAGGTACCTAAGCTTTGAATTTTCGATTAAAACTGTCGAGCACTGGATGAAAAAAAAAAAAAGAAAAAAAAAGAAAAGCAGACCTATACACTTGATGTCGAGACTTCAAAGCTGCCCTTGAAGAAAAAAAAATCGACAGTAAAAGTAAATTAAACAAAGATACGAGAGAGAGAGTGGGGGAGGGGAGAGAGCCGCGGTATGAGTTCTACCGACTAACAGTGTGCCCCCCGTTGTCTATCGTCTATGAAAAGACGATGGTGTCGTCTGTCCAGGTGCTCCAGCAGGCGGGCAGCGTCGACCGGCTGGCCCGTTTCCTCTGGTCCCTGCCCGAGTGCTCCCGCCTACGCGAAAACGAGAGCGTACTCAAGGCCCAGGCGGTGGTCGCCTTCCACACCGGCAAGTTCAAGGAGCTCTACCAGATCCTCGAGAACAACAACTTCAACTATCAAAATCACGCCAAGCTGCAGATGCTGTGGCTCAAGGCCCACTACATCGAGGCAGAGAGGCTCAGGGGCAGGCCCCTCGGGGCTGTCGGTCAGTATCATAACCAAATCATCATCGTTTGCTTTCAAATATTTAAAACCTTTTTTTTTTTTTCTTTTTTTTTTATGCCAATTTCAATTTACATTTTATCTCTAACAAATCATTGTGTTTTCTCGAAATGGCCATTAAAGGCAAATACAGGGTGAGGCGCAAATTTCCCCTGCCCAGGACGATATGGGACGGCGAGGAGACGTCGTACTGTTTCAAGGAAAAGTCAAGGCTAGTGCTGAGGAAGTGGTACGAGACGAATCCGTACCCATCGCCCCGGGAAAAGCAGGATCTCGCCGAGACGACGGGCCTGACGACGGTGCAGGTCAGCAATTGGTTCAAAAATCGGCGACAACGGGATCGAGCCTCCGAACAAAAGTCAGTCGCTTCTCCTTTTCTATTTATTATTGGTTTTTTTTTTTTTTTTTTTTTTTCTTCTTTTTACTGGAATATAAATATTTTAGCAGAGCGCAGTGATTTATGGAGGGTATATATTTCCTCTCTTTTACGTGCCCACAGGTATATACGTAGCTTTTGCATGTCCTATAAACAATACTTACCAATCTTTCCGCCCTTTTCGCCTGTTTACCAGCGTGCAAAAGTCAAATTGGTTCAGTGACTCGGCTGCGGGCTTCCCCCCATTTAGGTACATATACCGCACAGGTCGACTTTTCGTACATAATACGGGGATTTGAGAAAAACTCGGCGATCCTTTGAAGACCGGCTCAACAACGGGGGAGTACACAGATACACACACATGTACAAAAGTCAAGGGCTGGTTAAAACAACTGTGCAGATTCGAAGCTCGGAAAATTAGTTATTCCTTCTCTTTCTTTTCTTAGCTGAAATCCCATTGTGTACACAAACACCGTTTCGTAAGGTAAATAATTGGCTTAAAAAAAAAGGGAAAAAACTCGAGAGCTCGCCATTCAACTTTTGAAAGTATATAGAAAAAAAAAAAAAAAAAAAAGAGTCGATAGGAGGCCCATCGTTGTGTTAGAACAAAGTGCAAGGGGTTGGATAAACAAACTCACCCTCGATGCAACGGGCCCTTTGCAACCTCAATATATAAATTATACCTTCGATTGTTATACTTACCTGCACTCCAACGAACGTGGCAATCTCTGAAAATAACAGAGAACCCCCTCAGATACGTATACGAGGTGGGAGAGTCAAGTCTTTGCATTATATATAATATGAATTGGGGATGTCATAAGCCCGGCGTGTCGAAAAACAATAGGTATGTAGCTCGTGACTTTTTTTTATCATTCGCCAAAAGGGACGGGGTACCATTTATACCATAGGAGAGAGCAAAAAGAGAGAGAGAGAGAACGCCCGCGCGCGCGACATACAGACACGCATATATACGGAAGGGTACACAGGGTGTTAGTGTTGTTCCGAAGGTCGTTGCTCCAGATCCGATTTTAGATCTGCTGCTGTACACCATGGATATACAGTACATGGAGTTAGCGCTTACATTACCGTGCTGGGCTCTCTCTATATATCTCTATAAGTAGGTATATGATGCCACGGCATCGTGTGTTTTTGGCTTATTGTACGGCGTAACGCGCTGATGTCTCACCCACGACGCGACACACATTCCCTTGCTCCTCTCCCTGTATCATCACGTCTGCGTATATGTATGTGTGAGCAAGTGATGTATGGAACTTTACACTAGTCGCGCTCCCAGTGGGGTGGTTCCCTTTTTTTTTTTTTTTTTTTTTCGCTCCTGTGTAGGTGTATTCATTGAAATTCCTTTGCTCGAGTCGAGCTCAAATTAAGCTCTTGATTTTGCTTCTCTTGCCGTTTGGTTTGAACACGGGTAGGTACTACCGAGGTGCTTTCGATATTCATTTGAAATCTATATACTTGCATCGATTATTTTATACTTTTGATTGATTAAGATTCGATTTTTTTCAAAAAGCAAGTTTTCAACACACGCGTCAAAACAAAGATTATGACTTGCACTCTCTTTTATTTTGCTCCTCATTTTCCCTGTAAATTCATGTCGAATTTGAATTTCCATAACTTTTTGGATATAATCTCGAACCACAGGGGCTTCGATTTTCAAGGGAAAAAGTCTAAAAAAAAAAAAAAAGAGTATGACGAACGCGCGTTACCCATCATAACGTATGTATACAAACAAAAGACAAGTAAATTGACGGTGAGGGTAGGTACGGGCATCCCAGGAGGAGGAAGTGGGAAGCACCACCGTAGCAAAGACCCGGCGAGTGAGGGCAGTGAGCAAAGCGAAGAGATATAGTGGTATACGTGTACCTATACACCACGCGCGTGTCGAGTTACTCTATGGCTTCCACGTGTGTGTGTGTGTGTGTGTGTGTGTGTGTTTACTCATATGAATCCCACAGCATGTACATATATTATATATGTGGATGTTTGTCTGTCTTTTTGTCCGTACGTTGTTCCCATGGACATCGATGAGTCGAGCTGCCCATAACCCAGGATGCGCGTCCTTATAGGCTCCGTATACGGTGGGTAATTCAATTTTTTTTTTTTTTTTTTTTTTTCGTCAATGCTCCAAGTCAATGATGTATTTTGGTTTTTACTTTTTCGAAGGTGTCGTTTCGTTGTACCAATATACAGGTGATCTCACATGACGACTCTTGAACATGGGTGCAGAAAAATCTCGATTTTGTGGTAATTCGGAATAAGAAGAAACAAAGTCGATTAAATTATTATTATTACCAAAACATCGAGACGCGAGGGAAGAAAATTTGAAATACAATCGATAGACCGCATCGGTCGGCGAATTAATCACGAGCGGGAAATCCCACAAAAGTCCCCTGCATCCGAGGCGCGCACGGTGGAATATCAAATTTGCAATCGCAACGGCACCACCCCCCCCCCTCCGGCAACAACGAATTTAATTAGCTCGCTATTGACCCTCGTTGTTGTTTGTTTTTCGTCAAAATTAATACCCATCCGTCGAGTTTCATCGTGGGCTGCGCGATTCGCCCTGGGATGATTAAAAACAGCAGCAATCGATGCAATGCACGTGTATTTGCGCGTATATACCCTTCGGAAGCCGTACGTAAACGAAACTCGTGTGTGTAGACAATTGTATAGCTAAATTACTGGAAATATGTTATATAATAAGAGCAAACCCGTAAGAGTAGACGATCAATTGGTGTTGAAAATTCTGTCGCTGTACTATATACACTCTTCAGAGCAGAGGAGGTGTACAGCCCAGACGTATAGTACATCAGGCAGCAAAGTGCCCCTTGGGACGGTGGGCGTTTTAGTGGGCGTTTTCGTGTTTGCGCCTGAGTAAAAAAAAAAAAAAAAAAAAAACGTTCGTATGCGCAGAGCACAATGTGTAAGTTTTTAAAAAAAAAAAAAAAAAAAAAAAAAAAAAAAAAA